TTTCTGGCAGCTCTAGCCAGTGGAGCAGCTCATTTGAGTGGGACAACACTTGTCCCAGTGCCAAGCTACTTGTGTCCCTTGTTTTCTATTTTATCTCATGATCTTTGGAGATATATGTAACCCAGCAAATGTAACTTGTCCTTGAAACCTCAGATTTACTGCAGGTCTCTTAATTTTTGGCTGATAACTGTGTGTGGTTACTTGCTAGGTCTGTGTGGTGGCTTTCATGTGCAGGTTTGATGGGATCTCAGTGGAAATGGTCTAATTTGGGTAACTTTCTTTCCATTTCAGGGGGCTTTTGCATATATTCTCAACTACTTCATGTACGTTATCTGGGCCTTGTTGTTCTCCCTTCTTGCTGTCTTACTTGTGAAGGGGTTTGCTCCTTATGCCTGTGGCTCAGGGATCCCAGAGGTGAGTGAAAATGAAAATGGGTTGGGTTTGTTGCGGTTTTTTTTAAGGTGGGGTTGGGATCCACCATCCAAAGATTATGAATAGGGATATGATGGAATTTTTGGCACTTTAGATGATGGCTTTTTTCCTGAAACACATCTAGTGATGAAGTCTCTGTGCAATCCCTTTAAAAACTCCAATATTTTGGCATTTACTGGGGGAGGTGTGAACAAAAGCACACTGTTGGTGTAAGACAGGCCACAAAAGCTTAGCCTCAGGTCTTTCTCCAGCGGGGATGGTGGCCCTGAGGGAAGGACTCAAAGGGCTGTTTCTGCCTTTGCACAGAGGGGTATTTCTACTGACTCTACTTTTGATGGCTGAGGGAAAGCTCTGGAAGCTGTAGGGATAAGTTGAGGGCAGGATTTTGGGAGTACCTAATAAAACAGGAGCTCTGCCCAGGGCTTGAATGAAAGCCTGTAGAGCTTTGTGTGCTTGACTTCCAGATCAAAACTATCTTAAGTGGTTTCATCATTAGAGGCTACCTGGGCAAGTGGACTTTGATCATCAAAACCATCACCTTAGTGTTGGCGGTGTCTTCTGGGCTGAGTTTGGGCAAAGAAGGGCCCTTGGTGCACGTTGCCTGCTGCTGTGGAAACATCTTGTGTCATCTCTTCACCAAGTACAGGAAGAACGAAGCGAAGCGCAGGGAGGTACGGAGAGACAGCGATGATGTCCAGTGGCTGAGGTGGTGTGGGGAGACCAGTGGGTCTGGTTGCTTTGCCCTAAATTGGTCTGTTTTGATGTGTTCTTGGTGTGAAACACTTAGTTGGAGCAAAAGCCATCTCAGGAAGTGACGCCACAGCATCTCCCCAGCGCAGGTTGTCTTCTTATTTGTGATGGGAGCTCTGCAACGCTTGTTTGTTTGTCGTGGAACTCCAGAAATCATGTTGGGATCATCTGAGGGACCTGGACTTGGCTGTAGGAGTAGACTGAAGGGCTTTGCTTTCAGGGACACAGCGATGGGCGTTGGTGTAAGAACCAAGCTAACATCTCCCAGGAAGATGTGGCAGGGGGGGGGGAGGTTGGCCATGAGGAAAAGGTTCTTGAGGCAGAGGGTGGTGGAGCACTGGAACAGGCTCCCCAGGGAGGTGCTGATGGCACCAAGCCTGACAAGATTCCAGCAGCATTTGGCCAAGACCCTCAGGGACATGGTGTGAATGTTGGGATTGTCCTGTGCAGGGACAGGAGTTGGACTCCATCATCCTGGTGGGTCCTTCCAACTCACAACATCCCATGATTTGATGATTCATTCTGTGATTCTGACATGAAGCTCCTGAGTGTTTCCTCACTGTGCTTGGAAGGTTTTTCTCTGGACAAGTCACTGGAGAATGGTTAATGTGAGATGTGTGGTGTGACATTGACCAATTTACCTTCTGCTAAACCAAACCTGAATCCACCCAGGGACCTGGCAAGGTTTTAGGTGACCCCATGGCACCTCTGGTTACCCTCATCTGAGAAATGGTATGAACAGGCAAAGATGGGAAAAGCCAGTGTGTTCTGGGAGGTGAAATCACTGCTGTTCTCTATTACTGGAGCTTCAGTTGAGGTGAAAGCTTGGCATGAAATCAGCTGAAACAGCAAAAGGCAAGTGCCAGGGGTGCCACTTCCACTAATTTGGGACTGTTGAAATGCTCAGGCCAAAGTTTTTGTAGCTACTTGCAACCCTTCTCCCTAAGGAATTAGCTCACTCCATCTTTTTTCCCCTGCTTGTCTTTAAAACAGCTCAACCCTGGCTTGCTGTGCACTCGCTGCAGATAAAAATTGTACCAATTTAAAGACAAACCATAAAAAAAAGACCAAAATTTAAAGACAAACCAATTTAAAGACAAAAAAAAAAATAGAGGGAAGGTTTTGGGGGGGGATCTGCAAAGATCTTGACTGTCTGGTTTCTCTCGTAGGTTTTATCAGCAGCTGCAGCTGCTGGTGTGTCCGTAGCTTTCGGCGCACCCATCGGAGGAGTGCTCTTTAGTCTGGAAGAGGTAACACCAGCATTTTCTGTTAGCTCTTGGCCAGCTCTTTTATTGCAAGAACTGACCCCTGCTGCTTTAAAAATACAGTCCACTCCTAACTGTGCTTGGGTGTGGAAAGGAGACCCTGTTGAATACTGATTGGTGGTGTATTTACAAGGCCAAGCAACTTAAAAGCTTGTTGGGGTTTCAGGTAATTCTTACAACTACTGGAGAATTTCTTTTGGATGATGTCTAGTCATAAACCTGGTGGTTTCCCCCTTGGTCTGTTCGTGCTCAGCAACACTGACTGCTCACAGCCACAACCTCTAGCACATTTTCCATGTGTCCACTCTCTCCTGAAAACTCTGTCCCATAATACCTGGGGACAAACTTATCTGGCTTATCAAATCCCATTTCTTCTCAAAGAACTTCTAATCCCTTTGATCCAGACGTGGAAATGGATCACCACTGCTTGCTCCAGGGCTTAGCTCAGAGGAGGAATGGGATGGTTTTGCTCAGCTGAGCAATATTGTGGTGGCAGCAAGCACTGCTGGTTGGCACTTCTGGACTTTGCAGAGCGTGCCAGGCAAATAGTTCTCTGGATTGAGCTCATGACTGATTTCTAACAGCTTTTATTAGCCCAGGAAGTCGCCTTCACTTCAAGGATCATAGAGGGCACTTGCTGCACTGGCAGTGTGAAGCCAGGACCTGTCCTGGTCATTGATTAAACAGAAACTCCAAGCAAAGCCTGCTTGGCTGGAGAGGAGGGTGTGCAGCCAGTGCACGTGGATCTCAGGCCTTGCTCTGACTTCATCCACTGATGATTTTGTTCCTGAGCAGTGACAAGGGTTCCAGTGACTGAATCTGCTTTGTTTTGTTCCATTTTTAGGTCAGTTACTACTTTCCTCTCAAGACACTGTGGCGTTCCTTCTTTGCTGCTCTGGTGGCTGCATTTACCCTGCGTTCCATCAACCCTTTTGGGAACAGCCGCCTGGTTCTCTTCTACGTGGAGTTCCACATGCCATGGCATCTTCTGGAGCTTGTGCCATTCATTCTTTTAGGAATATTTGGTGGGCTTTGGGGAGCTTTCTTCATTCGCAGCAACATTGCTTGGTGTAGGAGACGTAAGACAACCAAGCTTGGTAAATACCCAGTGCTGGAGGTGTTTGTGGTGACAGCCATCACAGCCATCCTGGCCTTCCCCAACGAGTACACCAGAATGAGCACCAGCGAGCTCATTTCTGAGCTCTTCAATGACTGTGGGATTTTGGATTCTTCCAAACTCTGCGAGTATGTCAATGATTTCAACAGCACCAAAGGGGATGACCTGCCAGACCGAGCTGCTGGCCCAGGAGTTTACACTGCCATGTGGCAGCTGGCATTGGCTCTTATAATGAAAGTCTTCATCACCATCTTCACCTTTGGCATGAAGGTGAGAATAGAATCACAGAGTCCCAGACTGGTTTGGG